ATGACTTCATCACACAAGCGTTAACACCCACGCTGAATGACGTCACGACACCCACACAGCGTCATGACGTAATATCTGTCTGTCTCTCTCTTTCATAACGTCACAATCGATTCCTACATGGCTTCCAGCCAACCACCGATTATCTGTGGTTAAAGTTAATCGTGCTGAACCACAGATTACGTGTTTCTTGCAAGGCACCTTTCACTATTCAATCCATTGGACCAATACATGTGGAGATGAATTTTGGTTCTTGTCAATACAGTGTATCTTATGCGTAAAAGATTCTAAAGTCGAAGTTTTTAGTTTTTTTTTTTTCAAATGCGCCTAAAAATGTACAGAATTTCATATGTGATAAACATGACACTGTAAATATATTGTAACGTGGGTCGGTATACGACCTTGGATTGTCAACCCTGATTTATTCACGCCAAATTAATTCACTTACAGTGGTCTGCACATACAGTCAACTCTCTACAACAACACACTCGAGTCTCTGTGCACACACACACACACACATTCTCTCGCACTGTCCATCGAGTCTATCTGGTCCCCGAGCTCCGCTCTTCACACTCTTCTCCTACACGTCGGCCCGTAGCACCCCACTGGACACACGCTGGCCCCTCGGCCGCCTCGGTCCACGTACCCGGTGCTTGCTCACGCAACCGACCCGTCCATACTCGGCGTCGGCCCGTAGCCCCCCACTGGACACTCGCTGGCTCCACTCACTCGACTCCACCAATGTCCGCAACAGCATATCGCTTGCAACTCACACTCTCCCTTTCCAACCTCAACTCCAACTCACAACAATGCCAAATACAACAATGTCTATAAACGGTTACAACAATGCCAGACGCGACAATGTCAATAAACAGACAACTAAACTGTTTATTGACATTGTTATGCTGCTCTCAAGGCAACACGTCACAATATATTGTTTAAATCTTGTCCGTCTAATCACAATAAATTCTTATTAAATATTAAAATATTACAATAATTAACATTTAAAATATTAAATGATGTTTTTTATCGATTATTATATTGTGATATAATAAATATATATTGATATATTTATTATATCACAATATGACGCAACTTTACCATCTCATGACACTGTAAGTTAAAAATAAAATTAGATTCTAATTTCTGCTAGAACGGTGAGGATTTTATGTGGAAAACGAAATTATCACACTTTATATGTTAGTTTAAAAATAATGAAATTATGTTACCTTATAAATGTACGACCTAGATTTGTAATGTTTAATAGAATACGGTTAAAAAAAATGTCTTTGCCAAATTTATAGTTTTAATTTGTGCCATAAAATAGATTATGAGAGACGATGGAGTTAATTTCTGTACCAAATTAGAATCAAACTCGCAGAAAAATACATTTGAAGTGTTCACAGGTTCGAGTTGTGTGTGTATGAATATTATATATTTATATTTATTTATTTAACGTATTAAAGTGCCAATATTTTGAGTGTTTTCATATGTCATGTTTATTATATTTATCATATCCTTAAATAGAAATGTACATTGATATTCTTTGGACTCACCGCTGTGAAAAACCTCAAATCCTTATGCCTTTGGAGACCATGTAATAAAAATTAGATTTTTTCCAAGGAATTGCACATAAGTTATTAAATTCTGTTTAATCAGAAAGCATGATCGTCGTCTGGAATTTACATATCAGGCATTCAATGAAAGGAATCATTTATATTTGTTGTTTCAGTGTTATTATTTCCTTCAGTCTTGTCGCTGCTGTGATGGGAATTTAATCTGACAAGATGCCACCTGTCTGCTCTGATAGTTGGTATTATAATTCGTATAAATATTGTGAAAAGGTAAGGATTTTTATGTTTTTGTCAGGAAAGCTGGCTTTTGTATATTGTACTTACTCATTTCTAAGGTTACTGGAATTTTAGTGAAGAAAATAATTTTTAAGTGGAATAGTTAATAATTCCTGTAATGCAAGTAATAGAAGTGAGGTAATATTACATTTTGATATTGAAAAGAGAAGGGAAAGGAATTATTCATCATCAGCAGCATAGGGCAGCTTGAATTGATTCTTCTGTAATGGAAGTGTATATATATTTGAAAATATTCTTATGTATTTTAATCGAAAATTAAAAAGTCGAAGATGTATGTCTTCTGGGTTGTATCGCTGTGTTTGGTGGAAGTTTACCAACGTTTGAGAGGTCCTGTTTTGCAACCATTGTCTCTTGATGTAGCCCTAATCTAGATATTTTATAAATGCATGTTGTAACATAATATTGTTTTAAATAGGTGTTTTTATTTAACATTAGAAATACAAGTGGTTGCTTAAGAGTAATTTTACTTTTTTAAATCGCTCGATACGTAACATAATTGCAGTCGATTGTAAGTTAAATGAGCATGCAGTATCGATATTCAAGTTTGGCGGTAAAATAAGTGAGTGTAGAGTTCCTGCATTTTTATGGCGCCATAGATGGGGACACATTCGTGTACGCGTAACATAGGCATGGCGGAAACTAAGCGGTGTTGATTTGGATAGGTTAATGAAGTTGGATACCACAATTGTCATAAGGTTTTTTTTCACTTTCGTTTTAATTGTTTTAAATAACATGGGCGCTTACCTTTCGGAACCAATAACTGATAAGGTGTCGACTGATGAGGTGGGAAAGCGTGTAATTTGCGGTGCGAGTTCCATGCAAGGATGGCGTGTTACTCAGGAGGTAGGCTTTAAAGTGGCATGTGATTGTAATGTTCACTTCGCAGGCATTGAATTACAAATTTTTTCCTTTTGATCTGTTTGTGGTGCAGTACGTAAGTATTTAAGTCATAAGTGAAAAGAGGCATCTCGTAATGATGAGAATGTGGCTCATCTGGAGTGTCTATAATTGATAACATTGTACGATAATTTTGCTCTTGAGTGAAATACTTTGTTACGATTGAAATTAAAATTGTTTTATAGTTATTTAGGGGTGAGAATACGTTATTCACTTCAACATTTGTAATATGTGCCCTTCAAATACATCCATCTAATCAACTTATTATAAAAATCAACAGTTTAAATTAATAAATTAAATCGTACTGTAGTAAGTGTAAAATAGTACGGTATCATAACCCAATAATATGGTCTTTTAATTTTTTCTTGTTGTCTCATAATTTAGTGTAATTATTGAATTTGCTGCTTTCTTGATTTCATGTTTCCAGGATGCCCATAATTGCACACTGGAGTATGATACAGATACATCATTTTTTGCTGTGTATGATGGCCATGGTGGTCATGAGGTGGCTGCATATAGTGCCCAACATTTGCCTGACCACCTGAAGAAGTGTGAGGCTTACAAGAAGGGTGATTACACACAAGCTTTAAGGGATGCCTTTTTGGAATTTGACGCTACTCTAACTACTCCAGAAGTGGTGGCAGTACTCAAACAAATAGCAAATAATAAGGATGGGGACCAGAACTCGGCTTCAGGTAACTATACAAATCCAAAATATTTATAACATGTGTACAGTATTACTTCTGCATATTGGACAGTGCAGAATTACATTGCAGTGCACCTACTGTAGAAGCTAGATGAGAATATTTGTTTTGTTTTCGACTCATAATTTGAGGATGTCGTTAACAGCACAATCATCATTGACTGTTCTGTTTGGATTTCTAAGGAGTTGCTTTCAGATTTGATGTTATGTTTAAAGTAATTTGTTTACATTAGAATTACCACATGATATGTGACTGCTAGTCGCATACATGAAAACAGCAGGTAACTGAATTTGACATAAAACACACACATTGGGGCCATAAATCATATGGTATGATTTTATCAAATTAAATTCAGTGCTTGGCAACATGCATGTACCATATTTGGATATTTCGGAGCTAATGTGATTTTTGACATAGTACTAACGTACCTGTAACACGAGTAATTTTTTATTTTTGTACAGATGAGGAAGAAGAGAATGTGAAGAACTTGTATGAAGAAGCGGAGATGCCATTGGAGCAAGTGATGGCCAAGTATCAGCATGACCACCTCAATGCAGTTGCAAAGAAAATAAAGGAAGATTGTAATTCTCCCGTATCGCCGTTCCTTCGGGGACGTCGTTTATGTACACCAGGAGCATCTTCTTCAAAATATGGCACGGACACGTTGTTGGGATCCGGAAACGGAAGCACCGGATTCGATGAGGAAGATGAGGTAGAAGGAGACACGGAAGTTAGCAGCTCAAGTACTCAGCATCAGTGCAGCAGCTCCTCTGGCGACTCTAGGCAACATCTGGGGAACAGCGAAGCAGACCAGACTTCTGGTTGCAGTACGAGCAATGGAGAAACAAAGTCAGGACCGGGAGCAAGTGAAGAATTGAAAACAAAACACAAAGCAGCGATGCCAGATAGTTCAGGCGATTCGAAGCTACAAAACGCAGATAAAACTGCAGATCAGTCTGGGGACGAGAACTCCCCTTTCAAAGTGAGTGAAGCTGGTGACCTTAAGCAAGAAGTCAATGGAGAAATTGGGGAGGGGGATAAGAGAGATGCAGAACAGGCCACAAGAGATTGTGAGGGGGTCACGAGCTCCTCGGCTGCAACGGCGCATGAGAATGGTGAAGTGGTTGAACTCGAGAACAAAGGGAAATGCACGAGTAAGGCCAGCAGCAGTTGTGATTCCAATAAGGAAAAGAAGAAGAACTTTGCGCTCCGTTACCATACGACAACGGCACTCTACCATTCATTGCTCAGGGGCAAGGATCAGTGTGACAGTGATACGGATGATGATGGAGACGAATCTTTTCAAGGGGCTGATAACAGGTAAGTCACACTTCCGGATACAGAAATTTGAAATTTTTCCCTAGTGAGGATAAAAATCAGGCTGTCCTAACCTAACTATTGTTCTTTGAAAGTCACTTTACTTGTTACAAAAATACGTAATAATTATAAGTTCAGAATTTGGAGTAAATAATTAGTGCACTGTGAGATAGAGCTGTGTTATTAATAATTCAAATTCAGACTGAAGTCATTTCATCCACAGTAGAGTTTCTAGAGTTCAGTGTTCACTTTTTCAATTTCAATCAAAAATTACATTCATTAATTACATAGTTACGAGCACTTAAGTTTCAAAAGCACTTGGTGTAGTGACTTTTACAAAATTACACATGTTCACATGTGAAACAAGGTTGAAATAACATTTACGTGTTTGCGATAAACGTAACTTGTGGGACACCTATCTAACATAATTGTCCTCATTTACTGAGTGCTTATTCTGCGATGGTAATAGGGGGCAAACGTTAATCTCGGCAGCTGCAAGTATTTGTGATGAACACTAAAACATCCCCTCCATATCTTTCCCCCTACTTCCCTATTTTAGAGAGTCGCTTCGCTGGCAGATGTACAGTAGTCTTGTCAGTGGTTAAGCTCATTTATAATACACAGTAGATTCTGGTTAATTGGGCCATCGGTTAATACGGGAAGCCATTTATTTGGGACAAGTCTTAAAGAACAAACCTTTTTAACTCTTTACGTGGAACTTCGCATAATTGGGGCAGCCGCTCAATTGGCCGAAAGTGTTCTAGTCCCGATGTGTCCCAATTAACCGGAATCCACTGCATAATATTTTAAGAATTCAGTTTGTACCTCAAAGAAAACACTACACTTCACCATTACAAAGATCAAATGGTTAACGCTGTTTAAGGAAATAATCGCTGTTTATTCTGAGAATCTCACAACGAAATCCACAAATACAATATGCAGAGTTGCTGATTAGTAAATCAGGTGGTACATATAGTTACCACTGGGCTTTAGAGAGTTAAGCAGTAACAGCAGCTAACTTTAAAACAGTTGCACATCAAAAGCTATATTCATGCCGAAGGGTGGCGACCAACTGTTGAAAACAAAAGTTGCCCAATTAAATGGCATAAAATACAGGAAATTCAAATTGATGATTTAAGTGAATTCTTCCACAGTAGTACTGATGACGAAGATGGCGATGGTGCAGATGATGATGATGACGATGACGAAGAAGAAGAAGAGGAGGAAGATGAAGAGGGATTGACAGAGGAAGAAGATAATGAAGATGATGATGACTGTAGCATGTTGGATGATGAAAAAGATGATGATGATGATGATTTTACCATGAAAATGACAGAAGGGGTAAGTTTTGTAAAGAGATTAGTTATGATTTGGATTTCAAAATGGTTCTTTTCATTACACAGAAGTTTTCTTGTTATAATGCTAATTTTTGTGATATGTTAAATCTGTTGACCATGAATTGAATATTCTCGCCTTTGTTATGAAGCAAAACTTAGAAGAGTAGAGAGAATAGCATTATGTCTAAAAAAAAACTGTGAGAATTACCAAAATGTGACACAGAGACATGAAGTGAGCGCACGCTGTTGGAAAATTGGTGCCGATAGACTTGCTCGACGCAGGGTTGCCACAACCCTTCAATTTGTAACAAACGCAATATCTGCGAAGCGCAATAAAACGAGGTATATCCGTATATATTATTTTCTTCCTTCCGACGTCCTCGTAATGTACAATGAAAAGAAGCCTAGTATAATGTTCACGTTATTGCAGCTAGCATCTGCTTTGTTAAATTTCGTATTTATTAAATGAGTGAATGGTACACACAAACTCAACAGAAATTGCAGTTTTATTAAATGAAGTTGTGGGTTCCTGTCATGGCATATTCATTTTTTGTTGAATTTTGTACTTTTAGCCTGGATCAGACAGTGGATGCACTGCTGTAGTGGCACTTCTGAAGGGCCAGGAGTTGTACGTTGCAAATTCCGGAGACTCGAGGTGCGTAGTATGTCGCAAGGGGAAAGCAATTGAGATGAGCCTTGACCACAAGCCCGAGGACAATGCTGAAAAGAAAAGAATAGTAAATGCTGGGGGGATGGTGACCAAGGATGGAAGAGTGAATGGTGGCCTCAATCTATCGAGAGCTCTTGGTACGTAATGCTGCTTGCTATGTGTACTTTGATGGGAGGCCCTTATTGGTCCACCTGTAACATTTTTTCTTATTTGGGAGTTGTACATAGTTTTCATCCATCTCTTCAGATGTATTTATGTTGTGTTTGAACATTCCGTAGTGGCGTCGTGATACAAACCCGTGATGGTATAAATAAGTGGATTATTGAGTGATTGTAATCATTTGTCATGTGTATCTTCTAAATGGCCTCTGCAGCTGTTCTTAAACATAATTATATTTTTCATAGTATCTTTGTGTAGACACTCGGTAAGACTTAACAGCACTTATGAAAACGATTATATCTCCTGTTAGGAGACAAAGCGTTATCGTGATACCTACTGCGATAAATGTTACATTGACAAAAGAAATACAAATAATGCAGAAATGTGCATGAGGTAGTTGAAGAGTTTGAAGAACAGACTATGACAGATTTCTTCATATGAATTGCACTGTCATGATAACATTTTTCATGCATATGAGTTTGTTACAGGTGATCATGCTTACAAGCAATCCGAAGGTTTGCCTGCTGAGGAGCAGATGATAACGGCATTGCCCGACGTCAGAACTCTCATGATTGACCCAGAACAGGATGAGTTCATGGTACTTGCATGTGATGGAATCTGGAATTTCATGTCAAGTCAGGAGGTTGTGGACTTTGTACGTCCACGCATCCAAGGGGGACAAACAAAATTGTCTCAAATATGTGAAGAGGTAAAGTTTTTTTATGTTGGACAGCATCACATAGATGGGCAAGCGACAATTTTATATCAAAGTTATGGTTCGTTCATTCTTAACAGCAGCGGGATTGCATTATGAAAGTAGCCGTGGAACGAGCCGATTTCTGAAAGGAGAGCTGTAAATGATGATCCCTTAGTCAATTTATATTTGCAGTTTTCTGATGCAAAATGTGGATGTTAAGGGCATTGTGCCATTGTCTTTCATTATTACTGAAACTAACAAAAATTTAAATTATTTTTTTATTGATAGAGTTTTTCTGTTAGTTGCTGTAAAATGTGAAGATAATTAGTCATCATATTAATTTCACTCTGCATGATTATGCAGTGAGCACCTTTATTTAATGTTTCAAAATACAAGAACCTAACCTAACTTTGCAGCTGTTTGACCACTGCCTGGCACCGAACACACTTAGCGATGGAACTGGGTGTGACAATATGACTGCAGTAATTGTCCAGTTTCGACCAGAGCTCGTGAACAAGAGCGAGAGCAAGTCAGTAAAGCGTGCAGCACCTCCTGCCATAGAAACCATCAGCGAACCAACCAAACGTCCCAAAACAGAAGAACCAGCAACTTGTGTCTGACTTGGAAATTTACTTTTTTTAAGTGCATTCTTGTTGTGGGTCAAACATTTCAAGTGTTCACAGGTTCGAGGTATATATATATATTAAATGTTAACGTTTGGGCAGCCATCAAAAGGTGAATGCATTGTATATCCAAGAATGCCAATGTTTGCACCCAGTAATTTATGTGCCCACAGCAGATTTTCACCAAAGCACGTCCTGATTATATGCAGGTTCATTAATATTGATTCTTTGATTCAGAGACCATTGTACCCGCAGTATACACGAGACATTAGAAGTCGCATCTGTTGTGCTTGAGAACGGATGCAAGCAGCTTTGTCCATAAGAGAATGTTGCACTTAACTTGTTGTTACTGATGGGAAAAACATAAATAATACATGATTCTCTTTCAGTACAGTTGTTAAAAAATTCCCAGATTGACTAGATTGTCACATGTTACTGGCGGTTCATTTTCCATGTGGTTTATATACAAAGAGAATGTTTCGGTTTGGTGTTTTATTACTTTTTTCTCCTTTGTTGAAATATTTCACGTATTTCTTCAAGTGCCAATATTTTGACTGTTTTCATATATCATGTTTATTATATTTATCATATCCTTAAATAGATATGTACATTGATATTTTTCTTACTAAACTACTACAGAGGAATGTATCATTGACTAGAAGTAATTTAATTGCAACTTACATCTTTGTGGTATTGTCACGTAAAATGCTGAACATTCACTTTTTGTTGAAAATCCCATAAAACCACAATCATCTTCAAGCAATGTATGATACTACATGTTTTACCAAGGCACACATTACCTTCCAGTTTTAATAATATAAAATAACACAACATTGTGCTTAAAATGACAACACTGAATATAGCGATGATGCCAGTTGCAACTGCAGCGGCCATCTTTGGACTCACCGCTGTGAAAAACCTCAAATCCTACTTAATGTACAGCTGTAGCACAAAAAACTTATGCCTTTGGAGACCATGTAATAAAAATTAGATATTTTTTTTTCCCAGGAATTGCACATAAGTTACTAAATTCTGTTTAATCAGAAAGGATGATCGTCGTCTGGCATTTACATATCAGGCATTCAATGAAAGGAATCATTTATATTTGAAAGAAATTTTAGCTGTGGACAAAGAATCCGCAGTTAGTGAATAGGAGGAGTAATTGGGTTTCAAAGTCGGTTTTATCTAACACGTAGATTGTGGGATGCCACAGAAAATGTATTCTCATTTCACTTATCAGTCGTGTCTCTTCTCCATAATAGGAATGTGCCTTATCAGATGTGGAAAACAATGTGCTCATAGTAAAGTACGAGGATACGTGCCCGTGTTGTTTCAGTGTTATTATTTCCTTCAGTCTTGTCGCTGCTGTGACGAGAATTTAATCTGCCAAGATGCCACCTGTCTGCTCTGATAGTTGGTATTATCATTCGTATAAATATTGTGAAAAGGTAATGAGTTTTATGTTTTAATCAGAAAAGTGAAGAAAATAATTTTAAGTATAATGAAGTGTTGATTATTTCCTCTCAATTTTGATTTTTTCATTTTTGAAAGTAAAAATATTGTTACTTCAGGAACATTTAGTTTGCTCCTTCGAACCGGTCATGGAAATCTAATGTCACTTATATGACTATGAATTCTTGGCAGATAACTAAATATGTAGTTATTAATCTCATCAGGAAGTTAATTTTCATGAGTCCATTATCTGATGTGTAACATTCACTGTAACAACAGTTAAATTTATGGTCAAATACATTTATATCTGTAAATGAAAATTGTTGAGGAAAATGGAGATTCAGTAAATGTGGCATATAGATTCAAAGACGTATCTGTGCAGAGCTATAGAAATTTAATTGTAAGAAATGTGTCAAGGAAGCTGATTACAGTATTTAGCAGAATAAAACTGAGTAATGCATCTTAATTATTTGTTCGTAATTGATCACGTACTGTACATAGTTCAAAATGACGACATTCTTTTGCTGACTTAATTGTGCCGGTATGTCTCGTCATCTTATTCTGGTAAATGCTGCAGTTACTGGCTCATACCTGACACTGTAATGACACAGCTTCAACATGTTTCTCTTCACCTGATTTGGAGTTTTAGTAAAAGGGTGCCCAGTATGTATACTAACCTCGATACCAACAATGTGATATTTTATCATTTCATAATTAATAATATAATACTTGTAATTACATGTTTGTATTTACTGCCCTTTAGTTTTTATCTGCGTTATGTAATGGGGACTAGAAAGATAAATGCCACTATAATTTGTCAGTTTTACATAGAAACAAATTCTTTCTTATTACAGGAGTGGATGGGAAGTGTACAGGATCACATATATATGGTGTTTTTTTTTTTTTTGATAGTCCACTGTGCCTCTTTGGAGATTATCCTTTAATAATGTAGAAATGACTTGACAAGTTGCTGTGCTCATCGGTGTAGGACCAAGTGCTCAATTATCTGTCTCTGCTCCTCTTCTGTTTTCTGCAGTGAATGGTACTGAATTTCAAGTCTTTCTAGTTCCATAGACTTTTCAGTGATCAGTGCCTGAAGAAGGAGACCATGATTTTATACATAGAGAAGTACCATTATGCAATAGTGTAATGGAAACAATAATCATCTTGTGGAAAGAATGTTAAAATAATACAAGGAATTATTTTTGTGACTCCTACCTGAAGCTGCTGTTGCTCAGCTTCTCGTTGCTTTGCGACTGATTTTAGAAGGTTGCGTGCTCCAATGGCCTTTAATTTTTCCTTCTCTACTTCTTTGGCTAATGAAGCAGTCATTAAGATAAAACCATCAGCAATCTTTTGGAAATCAGTAATCTCTAGAACAGGATGGATAGTCATGGTGTAGATTGAAACTATTTTTCTGAATAAGCTTTCCCCTCCCCCAAATTACTTCAGACAAAAGTGTTAAACACAGTGTGATTTGACACAATTAAATTATTTTGATGCCCTAGTCATTTCAGTGTGATATATTCTAAAGTTTTCATGTACTCAGAAAGAGCAAGTTAGACAAAAGTTTTCTGATCTTGCTGTTGCAGGTTTGTTATAAAAGATCTCATTTAATTTTCAGAAATATTGGTAATTGAAATGTTTAAATATTTCAGCATACAAATTCCATATAGTTCTGATTAGTGGAAGGATACATATTTGCCACATTCATGCTGCAAGATAACAATATTAAGATCAGTTTCAATAATTTATATTTATTGAAAATGCACATCTAAAAGAATATATTTTAAATTGTAACAGGCGTTGGATAATGATTTTGTTAACCAGCGTGTTATGCAGATTTGCATGCTGCAAGCTTTACAGTACAGTTTATTGTTAATGCTAATTGCCATAACATAGTGTCTTGAATGAATGTGGCATTCTCCAGACCAGTGTTTCCAAAATGTAACTTGCAAAAACAGTTCTGTGCCCTGGATAAATGTGTTCTGCCATTGAAATTGGGTAATGGTAATTTTTTTCGATTCTGCTGTGAAAAGCATTATCTCATAAACCTTGCACAAAACCTAATTTTTTCACCAGACTCCTCACTGTACACAAAGAAGCAAAATATACAATTTAAAATGTTCATATACTTGTCATATATTAAACATTTAATTTGAGGTTGAGATTTAAAAATTATTCTAGATATTTATTGAGATTCTCAGACCATAATACATCTTTGAAGTCAAAACTTTGTTCTTCTGCAGAGCACCATGACACAAGGTACGAACAGAAACAGATTGGGAACTACTGCTCTAGACTTTAGATATTTACTTTCCACGAAGTCTCTACATTCTTCTTTTAGTTTATTTGTTTCTTGTGCCACATCAGGCTCTAGAACTCTTATTTTACTTAATTCGTCAAAATATAACCCAGCTTTTTGTAGATCGTCCGCCATTTTAAGAGAAGCAATTTTGCCAATCTTGAGAGAACAATCTCTAGGCGATATTTTCTAAGTGGGCGCCTTTTGCCAGAATTTTTAAATTTCTTAGTACGAGGATATCATGAATATTACAGGGTAATCGCTTGATTTGCGAAGTATTTTACTTACATAGTGATTATAGTTAATACAACACCTTGATTTAAACATTTTTGAACTTTTATTCAATTCAAATTCCCAGCCAAAAGTTTTATTGTACTGCTCAACTTTCTTTTTGATCGAATTTGTGTGGAGTTCTAAGCGTCTTTATTTAAATATAAAGCAGTGAACTGCATGCTAATATGCCGCCTAGAACATTCGAACTACTGTTTAATTAGGTCTTGAGGTTTTCACGACGGGGAGTACAAAGATGGTAGACTGTAGTCTGATATAAGTATACCGACGTTTCAAAGGTTCTTGCTGCCTCCATCATCAGAGCGATGTCTACCCGGCGCAACAATCCAGAACATAACCATCTTTCTACTGTTTTAATGTTTCCTTCATTATTTCACACACCGAAAATGTTTTAATTCAAAGAATAGTATTTATACACAGGACGAGTGTAGCACGTGGATTTGTGTGTGTCGTTTTAAACTGTATACATGTTAACTTCAAGAAAAAGTTTAGCATATTCAATTTACTAAGACGGAAGATGCATTGAATATTGACCATATTTTAATTCTTACAGTGGGCAGAAAATTCTCATAACAATTAAATGAGCGCAGACTGCATAATTTTTCATGCCAGTGTTACTGTAGATGCTAGTCATGTATGTTAAAAATTTCAACGTTCCTACATGCTTTCCTCTATATCAATGGTTTCTAGCATTAATGAATTTGTGCTTAAAATGTTGGCCATTGTGGCAGTTCAAGAAACGAATCAAGATGGTGATAAGGTTGGCAGTTTGTTTTGGATGTGTTTGCAGTCAGTGAATTTGAAAAGAAATGATTCAGTAATTTCTTTAAAATTTGATTGTACGTTAGTCTAGTTGGAGAGTGAAGTTACTAATTGGGGTTTTTCAAGATTGTACGGGGCTTATTAGGATAGAAATCTGGACTATTTTTACTTCAATTAAAAGTAGGCGTTCAACTGTTACACTTAGATTAAATATATATCCTAAAATTTTTAAACCAAACCTTTTGGATTGCTCGACTATGTCGGGTGATCATAAAACTGTAATTAAGGGCAATCCTTCCCAATATGTTAAACTCAATATTGGTGGGTCGTTGCATTATACCACCATTGGAACCTTAACCAAACATGACACAATGCTTAGAGCTATGTTTAGTGGCCGTATGGAAGTATTAACAGATTCTGAGGGTAAGAAAAACTTGGAATTCGTTTACCGAAGTATTGCCCATGGAAAGAGAAAACTTGCAGTGTTTTGTACTAGGCTAATGATTGGACATTAATTTAAAATTATAGATCTTTAATTTGTGGAGTACTTTGAAAGGACAGTACAAATCCTAGTGTCAGTGACTGAAGTTTCTTATAACTTGGGCTTCATTCTTACTTAGTTTTGTTTGTGAAACCTTTCATATAGGTCTGTTTCTTATCAAGTATGATTCAGAAAGCATTCATATCCAGGAATCATCATTATCTGTGGAGATAAAGGTTTCCATGTTATCTGTTAATCCATCATTTAAGAATATTATAATTAATTTGTACTACATATACTATTGTCATTTGGAGTACAATGGAAGTTTTTGTAATATGGCCATAATACATGGATTTGTGGTATTTGTTTTTGATGTCTTTTACATTTATTACTGAATTGTGCAATATATGTAACTCATGTATGTCAAATAGCTCTACCATCAGCCATTTTTATCTGGAGGTGTGGTCATCAGCCACCAATTTTTTGGTTTTTTCTTTATCTACATAACTAATAGGTTTGCCTTTTTTAAACATAACCTTTACTTCCTGGCACAGATTTAGGGCCAAATTTCTGACACACATATATTCAAACCTCCTTGAGCTTGGTTGGTTATTTAGTGAGAAAAGCATGAAGATAATTGAACTTCCTGTGATTACAAAGATGGCTTTCTTCTGGGTTGTAGTGCTGTGTAGTCTGGCAGAAGTTAACCAACAAGTAACTCATCACCTAGTTGTGGAATCTATAAGGACCTATGAAATGTTGGTAAATTTCTGCCAGACTACACAGTGCTACAACCCAGAAGAAAGCCATCTTTTTACTCCCTGCCATGGAAACCTCAAATTCTAAATTGCTCTGATTGATTTCATCATGACTTAATTTTTTGTATTTATATATATTGTATTAATTGGTTTTCAGGTTGGATTCTTATTGACAGGTGTGGGAAGCACTTTGGTACAATATTGAATTTTCTACGAGACGGGTGTGTTCCTCTACCAGAAAGTTGTAAGCAAATGGCAGAATTGTTAGCAGAGGCAAAATATTATTGCATTTCCGAGCTGGCAGAATCTTGTGAACAGGCACTTCTTAAAAAGGAACGTGATGCAGAACCAATTTGTAGGGTTCCGCTCATTACGTCTCAGAAGGAGGAGCAGCTGTTGATTAGCTCAACAAGCAAGGTAATGAGGTTTGAGGTTGTCAAGGCAGTGAATATGTCAGTTGTGGTTTTTTGGGTGATAATATCATGATTGAAGATGGAGGCAGTATGTTCCTTTGAAATGTTGATGTCTATCTACGGGTCCATACAGTATTACTGTCCAGAAGGCCATTATTGACGAGCAAGGTTGTGTATGAGTGGATAACATAGACATGGGTTTGTTGAGTGGTAGGAAGGACATGCAGTTGTTAAGGCCATGTGATCTGTTTTTGTTTCACAAATATTACATTTTGGGGTGGTAAGATGTTTTGAAGCTAACCAGAAACCAGAAGTATGTGTCTGCGGTGAGACTAATGTGTTTTTCTTTATTTCAGCCTGTTGTGAAACTGCTTATAAACAGACACAACAACAAATATTCTTACACTGGGTAAGTGTCATCATTTAAATAGCCTGAGTAACAAATGTGAAAATAATTAAAGATGGCTTTCTTCTGGGTTGTATTGACCTGATGATGGAGGCAGCAATGACCTCTGAAATTGTGGTAATTGTCTGCCAGACCACACAGTGTTACAGACCAGAAGCTGAAATACTGAACCAGTAGTATATCAGAGACCATAGGTTTGATGAAACTGGTCTTACTATCACAAGATTGATGAAGAATGAATCGCCAGTTATCGTTTTTCATATCGGTAAAACTGACTGAAACATTTTGAAATGCACAAGGTCTTTGTATTTTTTAATGAAGAAGTCCTCAACAGTTAACCCTTTCAGTATTAATTAAACTACATGTCAGGAGGCTTAGTCTTCATATCGTGAGCGTGTAGACACCTGTACGATATTGCATCACACATTTCGGTGGCTTTCTTAGCTCAAAAAATTATACATACAAGCCATTTTTATTGCTGAAATGTTCAGGTTGCTCAGAAATGTGTTTTAAGAACTTGTCTGACGTCTGATGTCCCATTTTTCCTATCTGCCCAGCTTCACTGGCATTGTAACAGCAGAGGACCTATAAGATTGATCTTTCATGACACCACACAGCAATTTAACGCAAGAAAAAACATATCACACACTTAAGATAAAACGACGAATTATACTTTTCAGCACGAAATTGCCACCGCAGGATTACACGACCCCTTGCTTCGGACCGACGGCTAATTTTATTAATCTACGGAGGAACCGTCTGTAATTTTCTCTGAATGATGTAGTGATAAAGAATGCATTGTTTTTTCTGCGCAGCACATCTGATGACAACTTACTGAAGAACATTGAGCTGTTCGACAAGCTGTCCCTGCGGTTCAGTGGTCGAGTTCTTTTCATCAAGGATGTTATTGGATCAAGTGAAATTTGTTGTTGGAGTTTCTATGGTCATGGCAAGAAGGTAGCCGAAGTCTGCTGCACTTCCATCGTGTATGCCACAGACAAGAAACATACAAAGGTAATATTTAAAGTTTATTGTAATCGGACGTCG